ACATAAGTTGGTAGGAGGTCGCTCGAGAAATTTTTCCAAGAATTTTAGCAATTCTTGGAAATGACGTCAAATTCTTGGAATTATCGAAAATTTTCAACGAACGAAAATTTTTGCCAAAAATTCGACTTTGTATTAGGAGAATATAAGTTGATAGGAGGTCGCTTGAGAAATTTTTCCAAGAATTTTAGCAATTCTTGGAAATGACGTCAAATTCTTGGAATTATCGAAAATTTTCAACGAACGAAAATTTTTGCCAAAAATTCGACTTTGTATTAGGAGAACATAAGTTGATAGGAGCTCACTCGAGAAATTTTTCCAAGAATTTTAGCAATTCTTGGAAATGACGTCAAATTCTTGGAATTATCGAAAATGTTCAACGAACGAAAATTTTTGCCAAAAATTCGACTTTGTATTAGGAGAATATAAGTTGATAGGAGGTCGCTTGAGAAATTTTTCCAAGAATTTTAGCAAGTCTTGGAAATGCCGTCAAATTCGTGGAATTATCGAAAATTTTCAACGAACGAAAATTTTTGCCAAAAATTCGACTTTGTATTAGGAGAACATAAGTTGATAGGAGCTCGCTCGAGAAATTTTTCCAAGAATTTTAGCAATTCTTGGAAATGACGTCATATTCCTGGAATGTCTAAAATTCCTGAAGAAACAAAAATTTCAGCCAATTTTTCGACTTTGTATTAGGAGAACATAAGTTGATAAGAGGTCGCTTGAGAAATTTTGCCAAGAATTTTAGCAATTCCTGGAAATGACGTCATATTCCTGATATTTCTGAAATTCAAAAATTTTATAAATTTTAGGGATGGGGATATAAATAGAAACTTCGGTTTGTTTAGAAAAAATAATGTTTATTTATTTTTTTAATTTTACATTTATATTTTTGATTTGTATACAATTTTTAAAATTATCGAAACTCTTGAGTGAATGAAAAATTTTGCCAATTTTTCGACTTTGTATTAGGAGAATATAAATTGACAGGAGCTCGCTCTAGGTATTTTTCCAATTTCCGCAATTTTTGGAAGTGACATCAAATTCTTGAAATCTGAAATTTAAAAAAAATTTACTTATATATTTATAAATAATTACCTTTACTTATTATTTTATTTACTTACCTTTTTACTGCTATTTTTTGAGACATTAAATGTTTTTCAGCAGTTATGCACCATACTTGATTTTTTTTTTTACTACAATTTAAAGTAAAAAGTAAATCAGCTAATAGTAATAATAATATAAATCATTCTTTGTAAAAGAATATTAAATCATATAAATTAAGAAATCAATACTTTAAAAAATAATTAAATATTTCCTAAATTATAAAAAATACATAAAAGAAATACACAAATACAAACAAAAGATATGGTATGATATATACAAATTAAAAACTTGTAAAAATTTCCAAAAAATATATGTACCATAATATTAAATATAATATGTACATATATAAAGGAAAACTATCATATATGTGTATAAATATAAAAATCTAAATATATATAATATATATACTTAAAATTAATTAATTTAGTAAATATTAGATTATATGTATTTAAAAATTTTTAATCAACTAGTTAGACAAATAAGATAAAGCTAATCAAAAAATCCGCGATGTTTCTTGGATCTATGATTGTTATCAAGTAAATACAGGAAAGAAAATAGTTAAAAAATAGAATAGAATAGTGCTATCAATAATACTATGTCAATAATGTAACTAATAAATAAGGACAGCTAATAGTGAGAAAAGAATAAAAATAGGATAAGAATTGACTGTCAGTGTCATCTTTTGAATATCAAAAAAATATCTTTATGAATTAAAATAAGATAAAATAAAATAAAAATTAAATTCAATATCATTTCTTAAATATTTTTTGAAATTTATTTTTGATACTCAAAAGATATTTCCGACAATCAATTATTATTCTATTTCTATTCTTTTTCATTATTTGCTATTCCTGCCTATTAATTTTATTAGAGATACTTTAGAGATATGTGATTTTAGAATTTTTATTCTATATCTATCCCTCTCGCGTTATTTTCTCATCTGTATTTGCTCGATAAGCAAAATATAATTCATGGATTTAATAGATAGCACAAATATATATTTTATACATAAATTTGTTTTCTTATATGTTTTCTATTTATTAGCTTATCTATTTTTAAATCTTAAATACACGCAACGAATAACGTTGTAATCTTAATTTCTATTTCATGGAAAATAAAATTGAAATAAAGTGGATTATTAAAAAAATGTAATAGTTAAAAGGGATGAAACAATAGTAGTTTTATATAATAATGACGCACGCGCAAACTGTTTGATAGAACAATAGATAAAGTTGCGTTATGGTAGCGAAGCTACCAGTCGCTATGCGCTTACCTTTATACGTGAAGTGTCTTTTTCAATTAATTATTACTCCGTGCCGTGCATTTTTACGTAGGGAAAATTGTTGGAAGAAAATTCTATTCGAATTGTCAAATGTATCTGAAAATAGATAAAGAGAAACTTAGAATATAACTTTAATTTCTTTCACGGCAATGAAATGGACGGAAGGGACGTGATTGTTTTAAAATATGTAGGTGCATTTTCTATTCGTTGAAAAATAGAAAAATTTTGACAGAGAGTGATTAAACAAATTGTAATAATATAAAAAAATTATCTCTATTATTAAAAATATATAAAATTTAATTACAATGCTTGTAGTTATAACACTTTAAAGTTGATATTTAAATCAAAAGCTTTAAAAATATATGTATAAATTGTCGAACTGTTAAAAATTTACTTACAGAATGGATGTAAGTTCACTGGTACCAGCAGGTTTTCAAGGAAACCAAGTGGATCTGTGCGAGATCCAGGCTGGTTATAATAAATTTTCGGAGAACTTGCGAAAATTCACTCCACAAGCCATACAGTGCGCGATCTTTTGCGGTGGTTCTAGGTGCAAATATGAAAACTCGAAAGCTTGGCCTCCTGTGCACATGGCAATACAAAACATCTTTTCGCATTGGTAAGATTGTAATAAAAGTTTATGAAAAGCTACAAATTTTATTTTTTTTATAATCTCTCACATCCTTCTCGAATAATAATAATAATAAAAAAGCGAATATAATAATAGACGTGGTTTCATTTATTTTTTATGTCTAATATTCAAATAAGATTTTGCAATTTTAATACGGTTCTATATTTATTCGTAAAAGAGATTGAATCGATTATTATCATGGCGTGATAGACTTCCTACTGTGAACGAAATTAAACTCAATGTCACGTAACATGATATGTGGGTCGTAAAATAAATGGGAATGGTAATAATAAATTTGGTAGCATTGATTTTCTTCAAAATTGTTTGTAACGCCAAAATTAATAATCTGGTCAAGCAAAGTGATTAAGAATTCGATGATGTTGATGTTCTTTTTTTTTTTTTTTTTAATATATACATATGATGAATTAAAATAATTGAGAAAAGATGTAAGGATCGATAATTCTTCAGGGTGACAGACGAGGTTCTCGCGATGGCACGACCGAACACCGCACAGATAATAAAAAAAAACATAATTGCACAATTTCAAGGGTGGAGTATAAAAACTATAATAAACCTACAAACTCCGGGCGAGCATGCAAGCTGTGGTGGCCCTCTCGAAGAAAGTGGTTTTACTTACGATCCGAATGTCTTCATGAAACATGGCAGTAGGTATTAAAAATAATACGATTTAAGCGATATAATATAAAAAAGAAGAAAAATATTTCATATAAATATATATATACATTGGAAAATTATCACAATATGACTATTATAAAATAAATAAATTAAATTAGTTACTTACAATTTTCTGATTCTAATTATACACAAAATATTATAAAGAAATCTCGAAATAAAATTAATTAATCGAATGTGTAATATGAAAATACAATACCTGCTTAATCACAAAATTAAGTTGCACGATGAAATGAAAGCTAAGATTGTTCTTGTCTGGCGAGTAAACAGTGTTCGTAAGAATTAGTTTCGATTCTGGTGAGCCAGATCGAAGAAGAACATGCAATGCAGCAAAATCGTGTAACTATGCGGAATTTTGACACTCGAATATAACGATCGTTTTCCGACATCTCTTTTTTTTCCGATTAAAAAAAAGAGAGAGAGAGAGAATAAAAATTAATCGCGATCTAATAATTTGTTCCAGTTTATTATTACAATTTCGCGTTGAAAGATTATGGGGACGCGACCATGAGCAAACTTCTGGATATGGTCAAGGTCGTGGCCTTCGCAGTACAAGAGGGAAGAGTGGCAATTCACTGTCACGCTGGTAAATCGATTCGTTTTGATAAATGCACTGACTAAATTTTTATTTTCGCACAGTTATTTTTAATCAATAGATTTACTATAATCTTTTAACTATGATCTGAAAAAATACGAATAAATAAAAATAAAATATAAAAAAAGAAGATAATAGAATCAAATAGATCAATCTCAAAGATATTTTTTTTTTCGTATTGTATAAGATAAAATAATTGCTCTATGGATTGAAGATTTTATCAGAGCAACGAGCAGATACGTACGGTTCCTCTTATCGCAATCGTCTAAGCGAGCCTTTTAATTCGGGAAAGTATCTATCAAAGTTTTAAACATTTCTTCGCCTTTCGCACATCTTTTATCATGATTTCCAATCTTTGAATGTATCGATCCAAAGACCATGTGTCTAAAAACACGTCTAGCCAGCGTGGTGGTTGTTTGTTGTATTACGTGCAGTAACACGGTACATCTAAATTTTTGCATTCATTACAATATTCCAATATTCCTTGAATTTTTGTCCGACAACCATAAAATATTGCATCCTTCGTGAATTGAATGAGAAAGAAGCAATAATTTGCAAACTATTTGATATCGTATTAAAATGATATCATAAAAAAAAGATGTACTTCGAATTCTCAAAAGAATTTGTCGCAGTTATTTCAATTTATTTTTATAGATAATGTTATGTTGATGATAAAAATATAATTTTTATCATCAAACTTATACTTGTTTATTTCACTATGGCTACAATAGCCTCAACACTGTTACATATGCAAATACGAAGGGTGAACTGGCAGGTTATTCGGCTATTATAAAAGAGGGTCACGTTTTTAACGTGAAAGTTGCACGAGAAACTTTCCTGTTGATAGAAAAAAAAAGAAAAGATAAAATATTCGAACTATTTTTTGAAATAAACAGAAGATATCCAACAATATACTTAACACTCTCTTTTCCTCGTGATTCCATGACTAATTGGATGGAAGCGTGTTTCTCTACCATAAAGGTTCTTCAGTTTCAATTCTTTAACAAAATTTACGGACACGAATAATGGATAGGCGGTGATAAGAAATTGGGGCGTAACATCGAGGTTTGTAACATTTACCAATCCTATTTCAAGATATATATATATATATATATATTTATATATCTTTCAACCCTGAAAGTTTCTCTAAAAATATTCTTCGAGAATACGAGGGACAAAATCGTATCGTCGAACGATTGTTTTAAAAGATTCGAAAATCTCGACGCAACTTACGATCGATTCGTTTATTCCATAATAAAGAGCCTGCAAGCAATGAATATTTAATGATCATAAAAGTTACATTTTCTTCATATTCTTCATATTTTCCTCGCATCTGACAATCGATCTACTTGCGAGACTTGTTATTATGCGCACGAAGTTACTTTGTTTCTGAATAATATACTCTCCCGTTCGTAAATATTAAGACATTCGAAAAGTACGATATCCATACAATTATTGAAAAATAAATAGAAATATTAACAGGAACAGTTAAATATAGAAAATTAATTAAATAACTTTGAATAATTAATTTTCCGATTATAAATTTAAGATTAATTAGATAAAGGATTTAATCAGATACAGGTAATCTATTTTCAATATAATCTATTTTTAAAACGCGTGACAGCGAATAACAGGTAGAGAGATAACAATATAAACATCAATATTGATTAAGATAGGAATCGAAAGATGGAAGAGATGTAAAGAGAGGAAAAACATCATTTAAAATGTATAATTAATCGATTTCTATTGTATTATTACGTTAATTTATAACCTTCCTAAATAATAAATTCTTTAATTTCATTTCTTTCTAAAAATTCTATCTGTGAACGGGAATATAACAAAGAAACACGAATATAATCGGCCAAATACAATTTTGCAATTGGAATGATTTTACTTTCGCGATTTCTTTTGTGCGTCGAACGTTTATCGCGATCAAATTCTTTGACCAACCAATTCCCCGATAGCGTTATCAAGCGACAATTTAATTGAATAGCCAAAATTCCGCGCGTACCTCGCGTGTGCATGACTCACCAACTTAATTACGCATCGTGGATACGCAGATTGGCCAGAAATGGACGTTCACCAACGAAACGAAACGGCTTATGGTTATTATCGAGTGATTATTCGTCGGATACGTCATAACTCTTGTTAACCCCGGAAACACAGTTGGCTACGATTACAAGTTCCGCTTCCGATTCACGGTTAGAGCACGAGCAGAATAATTTATTTCTCGAATTAGGCACGATCGATAGACACCCGAGACCTTATCTATCCTTTAAGCAATTAAATATTTCAATTCTCAAATGTGTGCGGGACTCGAGATGTTGCATCATGAATACAATAAGTAATTCAAGATAAATTTAAATTTTTCAACGAAATGTAACGCGTTAAAAAAGAAGAAAAAATAAACGAATGTAGAAAAATAATAAAAATATATTAAATGGATTGTATTTCTAAAAAATGGAATATTTTCTATATCATAGATTTGTTTCCACGGGGTAAAAATTGATGATTAAATAATGATAGCGGTTCAAATAACCGTGGATCTGAGACAATCGCTACGCTACGTGGAAATTTGTCGACTAAGCAATTAATCGTACAAAGTTCAGACAAATTTATAGGACACGTATCTTTTTCAGGGTTGGGCAGAACCGGGGTTCTGATCGCGTGCTACCTTATTTACAGTCTTCGTGTGCGAGCGAACGATGCGATACGGTTCGTTCGCATGAAACGGCCATCCGCGATCCAGACGCGTGGACAGATACTATGCATCCAAGATTTCGAGCACTTTGTGCTTCCACAGATGATAGTTTTCCCTTTGAACAGCACGATAGGGGATCGCAAGCCTTGCAGCCTGCAATCGTGTCTCAAAAAGCAGCACAACGTTTTGCACGGATACGAGCAACGCACATTCAAACATATTCCAAAGGTTTCTTTTTATCTTTCTTAATTATAAGATGCAAAACGTGTTCAATCGAGGGACGAGGCGAGGTTCTCTGTCATTAAATTTACGAAATTAATTAATCCCTTAGATCGTGTTCGTGATTTGCGAACGGATTCTTCAACTGTGCGATTGTCAAGAAGATAATTCTCCCTGTGAGATCAAGTATACGATCTCCAGTACGCCTTTCACGCAAAAATTTATATCTCACATTTTGGAAAAGCTGAGGGACAGTAAAGGGAATATTAGACACTCTTATTCCTGGGCCGAGTCTCTAGCTGACTCTTACGACTATTCCAGTAAGAAATCGAAAGAGAAACAAAATTTTTAATACGATTAATACGAGATCACGGAGGGTTTGAAAATTTTCCATTTATTCTTGATTTCGTCTAGGTTCTATAAAAGCGTGTGCAAGTGGCAGCCAAGCATCTTCGAGAGGTACCTCGGACGATATTGGTAGATTGAGTGATGTGTTCTGCACCTCTCCTGATACTCCATCTTGCGATTCGGTGTTCCCAGGTAGTCCAACCTGAAATAAAGTTATTTAATCAGTAAAAGATTTAAACTGAGAAACTGAGATTCAAAGTATTATAAGGAATATTTTTTTTTTTTTTTATAGTATTAGATGATAGTTGCATGGATGATGTTCTTGGTGATGGAATTCACGGACAAGATCTCGTAGACAATAATTGTTACAAGGAAATTCAATCTCATATGAATTTAAAAGCTGCTGCTCAAAATACAACTCTTCAAACTGTGACCACTGACGAAGCCATCAGAGTTTTGATCAGAGATAATGCCATTTTACCTGAAAAAACGAAGAAACGTATTCAAGATTATCAGGTAGAAAAGTAAATTTAATTTCTAAAAACTTAATATAATGTCGAAGAAAAGATTGAATTATCACGTGGATTTTTAGATGGATCTAAATCATAGATCTACAGCTTGGCAGAGGCTCCAGATGGAAACTGACTTGGATGTCCTCTCAGGATTATTATTCGAATGGCTGGAGACATTAAAACATCCCTTATTGGACGTGGATAGTCTGAGTTACATCGTTGTCTGGAGTTCCAAGCCTGAGAGATGCTTAGAAAAATTGCCTAGTTGCAATAGATATTTATTGGAATATATTCTACGATTTATTATCCGTTTAAGACCGATGACGGCAGAAAATCAAAGTTCCATCACGAAAAGGTTCATAGCCACGCTAACGCAACAAACGATCTGGATCAAGAATGCCTTTTATCCTTCCAGTAAATATTATAAAGAAACATTTTCAACGTGTATTTTGCATCAACGTTACAAACAAGTGAAAACGTATATATATTAACTTGTTCGTCTATATCTGTTTAACTTTGAATTCTATACCATTTACGAACGAATATAGGAGTTTGATAATATAGCAGATATTTATATTTATACTCGACTGATATGGTAAACTGAATAAGCAATCTCTATCGGTGATTGTTTCATATTTCATGAAGGCGTGACCATTTCTGCGCACGTTTGACATAAGTATCCTTTCTTCACCAGTATAACAACACGACTGATCGGCAGAAATATTGATTATGTCTGGCATGTCACACAATTCTATTTATATTATTAATAATTGCTGATGTACATGTGATGGAATAAAATACGAGAGACCTAGATATAATTTTATCTGACCCCTGCTTTCGTTTCGCTTTCACAAGATTTTTCATCATTGTTAATGTATTAATTTCGTTGTTTTACAGATAGAAATTTCCAAAAGCTACGACGAGGAACAGAGGCTAAATTGAACGAATTTTTTATTAGACTGATGAATTTGATAGAGGAGGTGAATACACAAGAAATGGAGAAACCATCGTGGTCTTCGAAATGGGATTTGGTTTCCACTCAATTGAAAGAAATGGAAACAGAAGTGGAACACGAAATATCTAATTAGATTGTTTAAGATAATCATAGAATAGAATTATAATATTTATTTTTACAATGTTCAATGATTAATTGTACAAATTATTCGAATAAAGAAAAATATTTTAGTAGTAACAAGTGTTTATTTCTTTATTAAAAATAAAAAAACACCTGAGTAATATTCTAAAAATTATAAAAATAAAGATAAAAATATAAATTTCTATTGTATTACAAATGAACAAAAAAATATATTCGATATTTTATCTTACTATGGTATGATATCGGTTGGAGATAAAAAAAATTTCCTCTTTTCCGACGGATAATAAAATAAACCAACAGATGATAACAAATTTAATAAAAAATAAAAATTTTATATAAATAAAATATAATTTATATCATAATAATAAGTTAACTATGATTATAATAACTTCTAACATTTAATGAAACTAATTGAAAAGATCAATATCTATTTGACCGAAAAAAATTTAACTAACGATTACTAATTTTGTTTGCAATTCTTTTATTTAAATATGACAAACAAGGAATTCGGAAACAAACAGTTTAGACAGCTTTGGATCCTCATGTTCACGAATTGCTGTTTTATTAAGTATGTATATTCTTTTCAAGACGATTCTATTAGATAAAGACTTAATTCTAAAGCTTAATTCGAGCTAGAAAATGCGATTTCTTAAGTGTTCTATTTACAGTATGATATAAGTCCTTCTGTGATCTAAACACATATAATCGTAGACACATTAATTTACGTGTATAAATCTTGACGTACCTAACAAGATCATATCTTTTTTTTTTTTTTTTAAGCATATACAAACGATGTCAGTCTTATACAAAGAAAGTACAGTGAAAATGATAACTCTCGTTACTTACAATTACAACTACTTATAAATCGATAAATTGCTATCTCGCTACCTTTTTTTTTTTATAGAAAAAAAAAGGTCGATGAAACAGTTCAGAGATTGAATTTCTTTTAGTAACACATTTAATTTCTCGGTAAAATCGGTACATTTTTACAAGGCAACTTATCATACAATACTTAATAAAATAATTCAGACAATAAGGATTCCTAAGAATTTTTCAATGATCTAAAGAGCTCGGATTTTCAGATTTAAGAACTTCCTCGTTTTCATACGGCACAGGATAATACTGAACAATTCGAAATCGTTCGAGGAGCAAGAAAAGTTCAAGACTCGAACGCGTTTCCTGTATACATACATTATTTCCTTTTCCACTTTTTCACTCTTCTATTCAAAAATAGATTTTTTTTTTTTTTCCCCCACGTTCCAATAATCCAAGTAATTTCATACTTGTTCCCCGAAAATTTTGAGTGAACACATGCAATGCAAAGAAATAATTTTAAACAAGTTATTTCGATTCGCGAATTTATCCTCAATAAAAATAGAAATTTTCTATCATATTCTACCTATGATAATGATTTACTGCGTTCAAATCTACAAGAAAGGAACACCACAACGAACGAAAATATCGATTCAGCACTGTTCACTCGATACCTCTAATTTGATATGATCGCGCTGGTTCGCTATTACTTCGTAATATAACGAACGCGTCGCAAAGTTTTATTCATTGACATAACAGAAAAGAAAAAAGAAAAGAAAAGAAAAAAAAAGAAAGAAAAAAAAAGAAAGAAAGAAAGAAAGAAAGAAATCGCTTCACGAAGTATTATCTGAGCCGATAAAATGTGAAGATTCGATGAACCAGTGAATTAATAACGCTAAATCCCGTCTTTCGTACGCTTTTCGTACGAAAAATTCAAATATTCGTTAATTAATTTTTTTTACAGACCTATACGAAAATATACAACAAACATAACAGGGAACGTTTAAACATGTACAATATAGAATATTCGTAAGATAACAGCAACTACTATACAAAAAGGAAAAAAAAAAAAAAAAAAAAAAAAA